CAGTCCAAGCATGGAACAAGATAACTTTAACATTCAGAAACAAATACAGAGATTGTCTTTGATGGGTGGAGCTGGCTGTGATGGTTGTGCTGGAGTGTGTTTCTGTCCTTGAGGAGCAGAATATGCAATGGGAGCTCCCGGGGGACACAGGTACGGTAACAGAGCGAGCTCAGGAGCTGCAGGGCTCTGTGTTGTGATAACAGAGGCTTTGCAGGCGGAGACACTCACAGCATGAATGAACAACCCCACTGCAGCACAGCATGCATGCACACACATATATGAAACATAACATGCTGGTCATCTATAATCTTGTCTCTCTGTTGTTGTAATATTTTCACATGTCATTATAATGAACAGAGAGCACACAGTGACCTGCACACACAAACTTGCACGTGCGGCGCGGCCCTCTGCAGCACACGCCTGGCTGCTCGGCGAGGCCATGCTGACTGCATGTCGTACAGCAGCATCAGTATGCTACAGGCATGGTCCTGTGTCTACACCCCCCTCCCTCCCTCTCTCTATCTCTCTTCCCCCTCTGTCCACCTCTCCTTCATGCCTCCCTCCCTCTTGCCTCCATCACTCTCTCCATGCATGCTTGGCTCTGGGCCTCCCTCCATCCCTGATCTCTCCCTCTCTCAGAGTAAAACAGAGGCAAATCTGTGTTTCAGAGCTGCTGTGGATTCATCTCCTGACTCTTTTCAGCGTCCTTATCTTTGAAGAGAGTGTGTTTTCTTGTCCTCCCTCATAATTCCTCTTCCTCCTCCCCCCACACTCTCCCTCCTCCACCTTGTCTCTGCGTCACGGCTGGCTCTGCTGCTGGCTTTCTGGTCCAACTGGGGGAGCAGCATGCTAAGCTAATTATACCGCTAAGATCCAGCCATTCTGGATAATGCTGGTTTTCTTCTTCTTCTGTTGTATTTTACGCAGGAGGGGACTGGCCGTTAATTGCCCTTCTTATGTCTGTCATCATCAACATGTCCAAAACAGAGGTCTACAGTGTGTGTGTGTGTGTGTGTGTGTGCATGTGTGTGTGTGTTTGTGGGCATGTGTGTGTGAGAGTCTCAGTGGGTGTCTGATGGCAGGGTGCTCAAGTGTAGAAGACTCATCATGGGTTATTAGGAGCGTGCAGGGGGGGCAATCAAGCGTAAGAAAGAGAGAGAGATGATTCCTAAAGGGTCCTAAATTATGGCTGAAAAAGCATTGAGTTTTTCTCCGATTCTCATGACCCTAAATATTCATCTTGGCATCTTGGATACATTTTTGTTGCCATTTATAATTTATCATGGGAGAAAGAACTAAAAGTGTGGCCGTTTCAAGCTAGGGCGCACTCACACTAGGCCCAGTTGCCCTGTACCGTGCCGAAACACAATTGTCCCCCCTCTCTAGTACCCGGCCTGCATTCACATTGCTCCAGGCTGAACCAGGCCTGAGCATGATTACCTCTTGTACATATGTCATCATCTCTATTAGTACTACTACTGGATAGTGGCGGATTGTTCAAAAGACCTCAGAGTTCTTGTGGGGTTTAATCAGCTGTCTCTGAATATAAGTGTCTGCCCAAATTTAAAGTAATGAAACTCAAACTCTGCATTGGACCAACGTGAACCCTTTGCCGCTTTGATTTGAAATGATTGTCGAGTGGAACTGTCACATCGATTAGGCTATATGTCATGTACCCATTGTGTACCTTTTCTTTTGCATGAGTACCTGCAGTACTGTTGCATGCTGAAGCCCACCTCTTCCAGCCTTGCCTGGGCAGTGTACTATACTTGAACATGTCACACGTCAAATGAACTGGACTTAGGGGGTCAAACGTGCTTGGGTACGGTATGGTTTGCCTGTGTGTGTGTACCCTTTAATCAGCAGACAATGTGATACCTTGAATTGGACAATGGTTAGATTCACATCATGCAGTCTTCATATTTTCATTGTTTTTCTTATCTAACTATCAATCTACTTCAATTTGCCTGTTTCCAATAGAGATATCAGCCAACGTTTCACTGAAAGAAGAAAACTTTTCTTATCTTTGATAACCATATGCGACATATGTTTGTAGGTGTGTTGCTCAGGTGGATTGTGGGTAATGAATAATAACTCTGTATTAATCTGAGGTCTATAAAAGAGCATTATACTCAAAGCATCACACTTTATTTGAAAGAAGTTGTTGTATGTATATATTTAAACTCTGCTTTTTTTTTTAACTTCTCATCCATCAGAATGTGCTCTGGGATGTCTGTGTGTCTTTTATTGTTCCCTGTCAGATCAAAACACTCAGACACACATATACTCACAGAGTTCATATTGAATACAGTTGATACAGTAAGCATACTGGTGGGTCTTATTGGTCTAAAGTTAATTTACTGCACAGCGTCCTCAGACAAACGGAGGCAGATCAGGATAAAACCAGATAAAAAGCGGGACAGCATTTTACGCCATGATTAATTCATTTCTTGTTCTGCTTCCCTGGAATGAATGTGCAGTTAATATTTAATACTCCTGTGCTTTTCACATGATTGCAACATGATCGTCAGAGGGACACATGGTGAGGTGGGAGAGGGGGGTGAGCGGGAGGGAGCCATTGTCAAGACAGAGGGTGAAATTTAGTAATTGTTTAGTTAATAGTGTTTGTGCTTAGCAGTAAGACTAATGTGACACTAATTGAAATTGAAAACAAAATTATGTTGAAAGAGACGATTAAGGAGGGCGAGGGGGGAGACGAGGGGAGAAGGGGAGCACGACGAGTAGGGGGAGAGAGAGACACAGCATTAGCATATGTCATTCAGTGTTTGTGTGTGTGTGTGTGTGTGTGTGTGTGTGTGTGTGTGGAGGGGGTGATGACACAGTTTGTTGTTGAGCAGCACGAGAATAAACAGTGCACCTCCAGCTCTGTTTCTCTGCAGCATGAAACCCGAAAGAAACAGAATGAGTAACTCTGTGGTTTTTACACTTCATACAGTCATCTCTGCCTCGTGGAAACAGCAGAAGAAGAAAACAGAACAAAACAGGCAGAGAGACGATTGAGATTTCATATTACTTGATAATATAGCATCTGTAATGTTGATTTTGTTCATAATTGGAGCCTGGAGACTTCATAATTCCACATCAGGTTGCATTTTGCAATAATTTGCCAGATTCACAAAGAAATGGAAACTTTGGTTGACATTTCACTTCAGAAACTGCCTCCACTGAGAGGTTAGGAGGTATTCACATTCAGACTGAAGTGGACTACTGTTTGAGTCCTTCATTCTGTTTTTTTTTTTTTCAACTCCATGATGTGTTTTTCAAAGTGACCATATTTGAACGAGAAGTGAAGCTGCACATGAATATGTACCTTAAAATGCAAAGTAATCGGCTAATGCTATAACACCGGCTGCCTTTGTGTGTCCCTTTTTTTTAAGATTAGCTATAAATTTATTGAGACATTTTTCAGGTTGCTGCTGTATGGATCTGTCAGTCACAGGTAGCCCCACCCTAACTCCTCCCCTGTTTTCTGGTCTGTTTAGCCTCATTTCCATGAAGCAGTCTGGTTCAATTCAGTCTGTTTGGTACCATAATCACTTATTGGCATTTTACACAGTCAAAAGTTGGGAATGGTACCAAATAAACCTTTCTGTACTGTCCTACTACCCTGGTTTGCTACCCTTCTGTTTGAGTGCCAAGCGTACCTATCTGACCCTAAAGGCTGACACATCGCAGTCCGGTGATTGGTCGAATCTACTGAACTAGTCTCTGGTAGAAGAAATCAGTTTCTTACTCTCTTAAAAAAAATCTCTATCTTTAAGAATTCTTTCTGTCATTGAGTTAGGAACAATGCATGTCAGTGACCAAAACAAACAAGTACTTTTAGTAGTTTTGCAGCCATTACAGTTCATGTCACTGCTGCTACTTCATTTCAAAGAGTTGGAAACAGTCATCTTGACCCCATTTATATCAAATAGACCCCCGGTTCCTTGTCTTCCACCGCCCTTTAATGGGAAAAAAAAGTTTTGTTGTGTTTCTACAGAGATATACCTTTTTGTTGAAGGGTACGACACTCCATTGACAAAAACAGTAATTTAGTCTAAATACACAGTTATTGTTGGTGTACTGCTGGGCCCGTGTGTCTGAAGAATTTAGTTTCAGCCATTACAGCTGTGGAAGGCTGAATCAATGAACTGGAGCAAATCCAAAAAGAAACTGTACCTTTGAGTCATTAACATCCCGAAATATGCAAATAATAAATCCAAAGTTTAAAATAACTGCTAAGAGCAGAGAGTGCAACATGTTCCTGCAGACAGTGTCATGTTGTAGTGATGTTATAGAGCTAATGTAAAGAACAGACTGATGGAGAGGTTAATGAGGGGCCAAACCAGTCATCCCCACCTTCTGACCCATCTCCTCCCCTCCCATCCTCCCCCTCTACATCGCCCCTTATCTGTCATTCACAGTCCCACAGCTGCTAATGAGCTTACACTGAGCCATACATTATGTCTGCAGCTGCGCCATCCATACAGCGCACACACACAATTTTTACTCCTGCTGCAGAACGACAGAGAGAGAGAGATCCAATTAGTTTCTCTTTTTTTCCTCCTCCTGTCGTCTCTCCTTCTCTCCATCGTCTTGTTTCAGATGTGTTAAAGGCAGGTTGTAAAACAAGACGACAGATCCAAACGAAGATGAGCCCCGTGGTCACACTGCTTTTGTTATTCAGGCAGAGTCACATTAGCCTCAGTTTGCGTGTGTGCGTGTGTGTGTGTGTGTGTGTGTGTGTGTGTGTGTGTGTGTGTGTGTGTGTGTGTGTGTTTTGAGGCTGTGCGTGACATTAGCCTTGCAGTCACAGGTAATGATCTCATCTCCCCGCTGGCGACTGGAAGAACACAAAGGGAATCACACACACTCACACACTGTGAGATGGGGAGCAGAGATTGGTATTGTAATGGTACTCTAATGGGCTACCTGACAAGTGCTTTTTCTTAATGCTGTGCCCCCCTCTCTCTCTCCCTCTCCTCTCTCTCCTGCAGGTGCGTTTTCCTTCTTTGAGGAGCAGCAGTGATATGGAAACCAGGTGTGGTGACGTACAGGTATGTCATGGTCTTTTAAACAATGCTGCTCTGTTACAACATCCCAACCTGCTGTTTGCTCCTCCACTTCAGCTGCTGTTAAACCAAATCTATGGACACTACTCGAGTGTGCCATTTCACCCAAGATTCATTCTTTGTCAAATATCACTCTACCACCGGGGGTCTAGTTTAGATGCACAAAGTTCCTGGTAACAGTTTTCAAATACAGCAGTCCCCAGAGTTGTGCACATGTCTGTTAATCAGTGTATTATCTCATTTACTCAAACTGGTGCAGCTCTAAAAAACAATAACAAGTGTCGACCTTTGCCATCATACAGGACCTGAACAGCGTTCTCCTGACAGACATCTTTTCTTTGTTTGAACTCCTCTCTATTTGCACCTCCTTTGTCTCAATGCTGAGTCATCTCACTTCTTTTCGCTTAGTGTCTGAAGCAGTTCTCCTGAACCTCATATAAGTTCACAGTGGAGTTAGTTGAAAGCCTGATGCTAAGTGTGCAGACACCTTTAAAGGTGTACCATGCAGCTGTGTGTTAGGCTGTGACAAAGCCACAGCATTTGAAGACATGGGGACTGCCACACTCGGGCTACTCTTCAGTGACATGTCAGGCGTCTTGTGTGAGTTTTAAGCACTGTTTTGTGCCTCGACGTGCACTTCTTTCAGTTAACAATCCCTAACTACAGATGCCTCAATTTATAGCTTCTAAAATGACCTTTGTGTGACCTTACCCCTCTCACTGACGACACAAAATGTGAAAGTGTCATAAAGGTCAGTTGCCTCTGTCGATGAATTTATTGAGTGTCAATACTGAAAAGGTGAACGAGGAAGTGATCAAAAACACATCAGAACACACTTCAGATAAATCCAGGCTGAATAACACACGTTAAAACAGAACGTCAAGTCTTCACATGTCATGATTTCATCATAAGTGCATGAATGCACACGAAGACAAACAAGCAGCAGGCGATAAAAAAGAGTTACGAAAAAAGTGAAAACATCTTTTTTCAGTTGCTGCTTTTTTTTCTGTACTGTCAAATTATTTATGCAACATTTTGACCTCTCTGCATTATGATGTTGTTTCTTCCTGAATCTTCATCCTACACCTTCCTCCAATATACAAACCAAACTTTCTATTAGATGTAACATTTGTTCTGCTTTGAATGCTGCAGCCCATCCACCTGCTCTCAGATCCGATGTGTGTTTTTTTTTCCTTCTCCGCCCCACAGACGCCCCACAGACACACTGTGATGCTCTTATATTCCTGCCTCTCGATTTTTCTATTTATACCCACTGAGATGAGCAATGAGCCTCCGGCAGCCCTCACTCACTCACCGACACAGAAACACACTTTCTCTCTTCAACACACACACACACACACACACACACACACACACACACACACACACACACACACACACACACACACTGTGAGTTAAGGTGGAGGTTATAGGTTTTCATCAACACTGTGTCTGACCGTATGAACCAATGTAATGCAGTTAGCCATATTGTTGAGTCTCAGAAAGCGAGCAGAGGACCTGCTGTGTCCATGCTTTCAGCTTTGTGTTGCATTCTTCGGCAAAGCATTGATATATTCTGATATTATATATAACTGTGCTCTATTCGTAATTTGTACATATTTTATGTTAAAAAATTATGAAGAAATCTCCTGGAGACGTTTAAAAACTTCTTTAATCTTTCATTTAATCGTTCAGACTTCCTGATGTGAAAGATAGAGCCCAGGTTTCAAGAATGTTCTTACTTAATTGTCCTTCAAAGGAAAAATGGTGAACTTTGAAATGTAACAAACACTATAGTTTAGACCAGTGGTTCTAAACTGGTGGGTTCGGGACCCAAAAGTGGGTCACGGAGCTGTTTTCAGTGGGTCGTGAGCATGTGCCAGCAAAAAAACCTTGTCTCAAACAGTCTGTTACACGCTTTTTAAAACGTGTTAGTTTTGCACCATCTGAGGAACTAAACATTTAACGGAAGCTGCAAACTGCACAGTTTTTTATTAGATAAATCTGATTGATTGAAAAATATCAGAAATTTTGATTGTGATATTTCATGTTGGTGGTGGGTCCTAGTCTATGGACCCACCACCGACTCCTTCATGATCGTGACCCAAATTTCTGATATTGCTTTCAACCAATCAGATTTATCGAATGAAAAATAGTGCAGTTTGGACCTCGGACGGTACGAAACATGTGATGGAACAAAGAGAAGGAACAAAGCCAACATGCTTTAAGAGTGCTCAAAACTGAAAAAAAAAAAGACTTTTTGACACTTTTTCAAGTCACATATTCACGACCCAACCAAAACAGCACCACGACGCACTTTTGGGTCAGGACCCACTAGTTGAGAACCACTGGCTTAGACCATCAGGCGATAAATCCTGGAGCAACACTGTGACTCTAATCAGGGTTCAATTTTGAGGCTGTTGGTGTTTCTGTTGGTAACTTTTTTCAGTGCAGTGAAATACAGTATTTTTTGGGGGATGTGAAAACTTAGATAAGTGATATTTAAATCTATTTATTCACTTGGCTTTCTCTTGAATCGTTTATCAAAGAAGCTGAGAGTCTTGCAGGATTTGAAGTGGATTTAATTAACTCCAGTAATCAAAGAAACTATTAGCAGCGAGCCATTAACCTGCCTGTGTTGGAGTGACCTTAACTTAAGGTTATCTGGGCGCTTTGAGTACATGCCTTCACGGAGAGAGCTGCAGGAGTACTACTGTGTAAGTGAACCAGTTAAAAATGAATGAAGACAACATCCACGAGAAACAGCCCCGCCTGCATTATTTACTATATTGAGAATACACTGAAAGTGTGTCAGCTTGACTTATCCCACCTCCTCTGCCCTCTTTTCCCCCTCACCCCCCTCCTCCCCACTACTATCATCTACTGCCTTCCTCCCCCCTCCCTCCCCCCCATTCCTCGCCTCTTACGGAGTGATTCACAGAGTTTAGACTCTGAGCAGGGTCGGTGTCAGAGCTCTTCAGGAGCACAGGCTGGTCAGGATGTGCAGTTCGTATCGACTCTCAATTCACAGTGATGAAGGATTTTTGTATTGATTTTTATATTCTCAATGCATTTTTTAACATTTAGGTTTACATGCAGAGTTTGCCTTCTGCATGTAACAGCTCCTGCAGAAAAGATGTTTCCTTGGGCATGACACTTAAACCCAAGTTGCTCTGCATCTTCATCAGGTGTGTATCAACATGTATGAATTGATTAGTTAATACTGATGAGCTCTAAATGGGTGTGAATATATAGGTGTAACCTGCGATGTAAAGGCACTTTAGGTATTCTCAAAACTAGAAACGCATACAAGCTTAAGCTCATTTCCATTTGTCCCTGGAGTCTAGACACTGGTGGAGGTGGTGAAGGAAGGATGCAGGGTGTGATGAGGAGTAGACTTCTGATGAGCTGGACCCTGTTGAGTTGACCAGAGGTGACTGTGGTGGAGCAGGGTTGCAACGATCCACTGAAATGACAACTGACAGCCAAACAGGGGAACAGACTGAAAGTTTGGCGGTTGCAGGGTGATTGTTCATTAGAGGTTCCGGCTAAATCTGGTTGGTAAATTATTTAAGAGCGTAAACGGCCAGTATCATCTGAGCAGGTAGAGATGGGTAGAGTGAGGAAGTGATATTGATGAGTGATGAAAATTAAAGAATGGACATATGGATGTTCTTCCTGCTGGAACTCACGCTGAGCTTCATGACATCAGACACAGGTGAATCCAAAGCCACCAGACTCCATTAAAAAAAACATTATTAACACATAACTTTACCTCCGTACCTTTAGCAAAAGTATTAAATGAAAAATAAACAGATAAATGAAGCAAAGCTACTTCAGTGTCCCTGTTAACAACAGCAAGATTAAAGTTAAAGCTTTATTGACAGTTTGTCGTTAACGTTATCACCTCGGCCTCCTGTCGCCTCGCTGCTCATTCTGTCCTGCTAATAACTTCCTTTAATTACCTCTCAGACACAAATTATGTTTCTATAATGACACATAAACACGTTCACTTTATGCTTTAAACTTACTCTGGATTATTGTATAGTTATTTACATCTCACATTTGTCAAACACCAAAACTTTATGTGGAAACAACTGCAAGTTGCTCTTCACAACAGTCTGTATAAAACCAATTGGTTTGAGTAAACTCATGATGAAAGGTCTTAATTAATATGTCCACAGCAATTAAAAAGAAGCAGATAATGGCAATGAATGTATCTTAATGCAATGCTAAATAAGCCATACAGAAAAACAAAGTAGAGAGCAGATTTAAGACATTTAAATAGGTCAAAAGTTCTGAAAAGTAAAAGAGGATTAAGACACAATCAAATAAAACATAGACATATGATACTGTGGAGGAGAAGTAATGGATCGGATTAACTTCATTTGAGTAATACACCAACATAGTGATAATAAGCAGCCCTTTACACTTGAAGTATAATAACTGATGTTTTAAAAGAGTATCTGCATATAAACTGATGTAGAGAGTTATTACATGGCTGTGTTAAACACTTTATTCTGATCCCAAAGTGTCTTGTTTCTGAAGGTCATTTTATACCGGCTGCTTGTTTGCAAAGCTAACTGAAGTTCAGCTCATATTTGGAGCAACTGAAATCATTCTAACTTCAAGTCGAAGAACAAAAGAGTGAAAATAATAAACATTCACTTCAGTCTCTCTGCTCTGAATCTGCTGCTTGTCGCATGTCGGCCATGTTGGCTGTGTTGGCTGATTCATTTTCATCCATTGGGGCCCCAAGTTCTCCCTGTTGCTCACAGACATCACGTTCACGAGACGCCTCCTCTCCACCAAACAGTTTCCCTTAACATGTGTTTGTCTTCACATGTCTTTTTTTTTTAAAAAGGGGGTAGTTATACGCACAGCATGTAGGTGCAGGGCAATTAACAAACCAGCAGACTGAGGAAGAAGGTGTGCCTCCACACTTGCACAACATTTCGACCAGGTCTTTGTGGGGTTTTTGAACC